CCATCTTCTTCATCGCTCCTGTCGTAAATGCTTTGTTCAGCAGGTTACTATGTGAAGGCTCGTTACAGATGGATTGAGAGTGTTTGGTGATCAGACCGATTCCCAACAAAGTAGATAATTGAAGGTCACTTGGTTTGACACGTAACCTAGCCAAAGTAGCCGAGGTCGTGAAGTACGCTTGGTTTCAGGTACGATCTTGGGATCTACATTGATCCTGATCTATATCAATAAATAAATAAAAGATATATTTGTTGGCGGTGCAAGGCACAGTTCAACTATGTGGTCTGACCAATGTACATAGCAGGATTGTACAAGATAAGTAACTGTTCATGCTTTATACAGTGGATCCAAAACGGAGTTTAAAGTAATTGGTATCAGAGAAATTGAAAAGTTGGGAACAATAAAAAACACAGTTGTAAACAAATGTTCAGGTAAAGTAGTACGGTCATCTGCTGAACCGTCCTCATGGGATCTGTTTCTATGCAGAGTATTCCCCGAAAGGTTTCACCCGCACTTCCATGTCCCCCTTTGGCAGTGTGACGATGTGGCAAAGTAGTATATAAGCTATCATCTGTTTAACATGTTTGTTCTTTTTAGGGCTGCTTTTGTGCACGTATTATGGGCGATGAAGCCTCAGTCGGGTCCGCCATGCGGATCATTCAATGATCTAAGATTCTTTGGTCGCCGTTTGATGTATTTGCAGGCAGTCTGAGAGTACCCCCAATGACTGTAGTCTACTTCGACCCAACTCATTTATGTCGGTACCCATGAGCCTGGGAAAGGGTGATGGCCGAACCTACACTCTTGGTAGCTAACTGCTATATCTCACACCTTTCGTGAAGGACCTAGGCGTAAACAACACGTAAAGGATACATCGACATGGGATGTCCATGCTTTTGGGCGTTCAAACGCAGATGTTGCACTTGATCTGAAACTGCTGCAATTCGCCTCTTCTCCATTATAAGACGGGTGTTAGAGTATTACAGGCCCGTGTACTCTCCGACCACCTGACACGAAGTGCAGAAGATCGAAATGTGCCAGCAGGTCATTACCACGCTCACCCACAGTTTACGGGGTCAACCGTACGAAGACAGGTGTGAGATACGGAGATTGTACATTCTGTCTCACCGACTGGTGCGACTCGATCTCAACATGATCTACCGTACGCTAAATCTAGGTGGCTTCTCCATGCTGAGGTCACTACTCCAATTGCGAACAGTCTGCAGCACAAGCGAACACCGGTACAAGATCTTAATGCCAGAGTTTTGAATGGCGAGTGGGCACTGTTGGGAACAGTCTACTGGAGCATATAGTGGAGTCATCGCAGTGCACAGTTCGCATTTCTCCACTGTTGGATGCCGAGAACGATTACCCACTAACAATGATATCTCACATTTGAGGATCATGTGAGTTATACCTATTTACGATGTCATGTGAGAACTAAACAAACGAACAGTGCTCACAATTCATAGATAGTTTTTCTGACCTTTCTGGTCATATTTCGATGGGGTTGTATAGATTTAAATTTCTACTCGTTCCCATGATACAGTACCGAGCGTTATTGTGTCGTAGCTGCTATACTCGTGCGCATAAACTATGACAATCCGCAGAGCAGAGTACTCCGAGGGAAATCGTGTGATTCACGCGAAAATTGCTATCAGCGGGCACTTTAGGATATGTCAGAGGACACAGGTATATTGTCGGCATTGCAAGGAGGCGTGTATGAAATGCACAAATCCAAATGAAACTTTGTAGGTACTCCACGGGAATCGTGAGCAGTTCACCAATATTTGCCTTTAGCGTTTTGTCATGGGACATCACGGTTGGCAAAAAGGAACCCGGACTAGCAACCCGGCCTAGCCGGAATCCCATTTGAGATCGCATCATTTGCGCGCATCCCTTCAGGGTTGGTCGACCGAACTACTTAATGTAACTGTCCAACTAAACCATTGGCGACTGAAAACGGCTAACTTGAGAGTCGTATACCGCATATATTACTGCAAAATCTGCTCGCATTTAGTGTCCGATTATTAGTTAGCATTATTGCAACGCCCGTCACTATCTTAGCCAAATCACAGACACGTTTACGGCGCGCATGATATAATAATAATAATACGTATACTTCCTGATTGTACGAGAAGTTGTCCCTGGATTGTGGACAGATCATGAGTACAATAATCATCATTCTTATGCATGAGTGAAATATCTAATATGGGGTGTATGATATCAAAATAATTTGGAATCACGTAACTTTCGTTGTTGCTGAGTTCTTTGTACCATCTTTAATCATTGATTATATATTCCTTGGTCCATCCTGAAAGAAATTGTGGTGATTTACCCGATGGAAACATGGTCATTATCGAGTTCTTGTCAAGGAGTTTACTAAGCTGAATGTGGAATGCTCTTGCATTTGTGCAAGACCTGATTGTGGCTGGTAGGTTAGTCCACACGACAGCGTATCTGACGAGGAAGAAGTTGGATCGGATAGCTGTCCTGGTTCTCGGCACACATAATTTACAGGTCTTGTTGCGTACATTCCGAGTGAAGTTATGTTGAATTTTAAGTGTACACAGATTGGAGTATGTCTTTTGGTTTATGAGATTGTGTATCAGCATCAGGTTATGTTTCAGTCGTCGCAACCAAAGGGGCTCGAGCTTAAGCTGCTGGCAGCGCTCCTGATAACTCAAGGTGGTTGATTTACTGAACAAGCGCTTAGTAAATGATCTTTGCAGGTTTTCTAAAGCTTTCCTGTCACCCATTCGCATGTTCCCATAGATGATGCTGCGGTATTCAAGGACAGGAAGTGTATTTTGAAAAGGTCGAGTCTGGCAGGGGTTGTATAGATTGTACGGCATATGTTAGCCACAGATCGTTTGGCACGTGCTATATGATACTCAGCTTGCTCTGAGATATTAAAGTTTGGAGAGTATCGTATGCCTAGATCACAGTTGGATAGTTTCACACAGATACTTTTATTGTTCAGTTTAACAAACTCTTCAGGGACTAAACAGCCTCGGGTTATCTAGGCTTTTCTGTGTTGGAGGCTCGCAAATAGAACGAAGCAGGGAATTCGTGTGGAAAAGTGTGACACGAACACAACGTATCTAAAGCCAACTACCGGATGCCTAAAACATTTATCCGACAGAATTGTGATTTGGCGTTGGACGGTAGGTGAAACAATTTCAGGTAATTGGCAGAAAGAAAAGGTTGTCAATGCAAAATCCAGACACAACACTTCGTGTTATCAGTGAAGTTTTGGGCAGTTAAAAGACAGGAGGAAGTTTGATCGTGCATTGACTGTCGGATTGGGTTGTGCAGCGCCAAGTGAAGAGTAATTGTTACACTGGCAATTAGATTGAAGCATCTGGGCGGGCAAATTCGACGCGAGAGTTAGTCTGAATATTTTGCACATCACTGATACATAACGTAAGAGAGGAGCGCGCACATAACGCCGTCGGTCGATAGCGAAAAGTCTAGACTAGGATAGAGAAACGCGCGGAATCTGGCACATAGGATATTGAGGTAACCGTCTGGCTAACAGACACTTGAGTTGTAGGTTGTGTGAACACGATGGTAACAATAACGATTATACGAGGCACAAATACGTGGACATGCATGGGGTCGAACCACCGAGACTCTAAATGATCAGATTCTGTAGAAACGCATCCGTCTCGTCTGACTTATCTTGCTGCCCAATCAGTAGAGTGCAAGTAACTCTATTGCTCAAACTTCGCCAGTTAGTCACGTGGGGGACGGTGCGCATACACAGGGGATAATATCCTCCCAGTTCCGAGCATAGGTGTTGGATTGTGACGGTTAATAACGACATGCTGTAGTGAACTGTGGAACACTGGTGGCTGGTAGATCTGACTTCTACTTCACAAGTGTAACTACGCTGAGAACAGTCGGGTTTGGTTTACGCAGACTCTCTTTTGGTGCCTAGGCAGTGATGGTCGCAAAATTGGTTGCCTAAGTGAGGACACATATCTTTTGAGCAACCACACTGTAGATTGGGATGATAGCTAGGAGAAACGAACCTTCGAAAAATAAAACGTTGGTGGGAACCTAGCTAACCAGATAACAACAATAGGAGAGAGGCAGTTACCCTCGATCGCCTTGGAGTTAAACCGCCGGCACGTGATTAGCTCCAGTTGGAATCGATAGGACGCAAGCACCACCGGAACAAAGGGAATTGTAGTTAGCCCACGAGGTAACATAAGATGAATAGCACCCAGTGCACAGGATTTAATTGGCGAAACAGTTTCAAACGGTGGTGCATCGCAGTGGAGGGTATGCCAAAGCGAACGGGCAGCCTCGTTGTCAACTGATTTTGGTCGAGGCGCTGTGTACACTGCCTTTTGAAATAAAATAAAGGCGTCAGCAGCAAAGCCGGTACGTAGTATCGACACTTCACTGCCGCGCAACCACCAGTCGCATGTGGGCTAAGAGTACTGCAAGGATAGCCCAATCCTTTACAACAGTTCGTGTCCGTGACCTCAGATTCCAAGACAGGGTTGTGATCTTGAAGGCCACGAGCCAAACATATTGACTCTTGTGAAATAACGTAACATTGAAGACAATGAAACCCGTACGAGTGGGGATCAACCTGTCCACGAAAGTGAGATGTGTACGATCAAAAAGGAGGGAGGTCCGTTCGTGAGCCCTGCAGCAACTGCTAATTGAAAACTGTGGTCTAGGTCACTTGAGTTAGAATTCGATAGATATCGTGCATGCTTAGATTTAGAAAACTTGGTAATCCGCATGAAATGCGAGCGACAATATAGGAGACAAAACGCGGGAGAATACGGCCGAAAATACAATACGAGTGAGTGTTTTCCCTCATTGGACGTCTCCACTAACGCGCCTCTGGATGCTCCAAAGTTTCTAATATGCGTTTCAATAGAAGTTCGGTGTTATAAAAATAGCAACAAGCGAAAATGAATTTGCGACTGTACATGTGTTCCAAACATGAAAGCATTGGAAATGGAACATGGCGTGCGTCAGAAGGGTCTCAAAACTCGTATTTCTTTGACCAATTGCTCCGGACTCAATGTTTTGCTGAATAGACTGGAGCGGACGCATTTGTCAAGTTCACCCAGTGCGGCTTCCACCTGTTCCAACACCTGTTCGTCCTTCTCCACCTTAGAGCGGGCTGATAGCAGGCGATTGAGGTCTCGCAGCACATCTTGATTTAGCCAGTCTGGGATGGTGTCTTCGAGAAAAAGTGATCTAGCCAAATTAGCTGCGGCCGAGCGAACGGACGGCGATGGATCTTGCGCCAGGTGCAGCTCAATTAGAGCAAATATCTGCACCGTTGAAGAAAAAGACAAAATGGTTGGACATAGAGTAAAAAGCTCGAGATAGTAGCGTGAATATATCGTATGGCATAGTTATTGTCGTTGAGAAGCCATCTGGCGTGTACAGTGTAAGATACCGAGTCACAAATAAGGTTTACGGCAGAATCGCATAACACACTCTAAAGTAAGCCAACCAAACTTGAACGGAAGGGTCCACTAGTTAGTCTGCTGAAAAACCGTGTACGTAATTTAAACCATAAAAACATGAATTCAAGGCAGCGGCTTCGTCTATTCGGGGGACAAATCAAAAACGTGTATTGCAACAAAGCTTGATAACCAGTGGCGTACAAAATTGAGTAAGCTTACGTCGTAGATAATAGGTGCTGTAGCGTACCGCAACAGTCGCACAAAATCAGCCAAGTTGGAAAGGCTTGCAGCGCGTATCAATGGTTCTGGACAACGTGCACCGAGTGCCATGGTGTTCAGCACAGGTGTAAGATACTTCGGTGCCATCTGCCCTGTAACGCGGAAAATAAACTTCACTTCAACGAAAAGGAACATTGAAAAACAACAGTCAAATTGATATGAGGAGAAAGAATTGGTCGATGAAGGGAGATGCAATCATGCAGTATCTGTGTTTTAAAGGATTTGTAGATATTTTCAGAGAAAAAGAGATAACAGGAAGAGCAAGCGTCAATTGAACACACGGTATCGACGACACAATCAAGTGGCTTTCCCAGAGGGAGAGAGAGATAGTAGACGTCGTAAATAAAAAGGGTTAACCGATCTTCGAAACATATGGTTAGAAAATGGTTATAACATAAACCCGTCTGGTGAAATCGACAGTAACGGTGACAGGTTTAGTAGCAGTGAAGCACCATTTTTGTGATTTATTGTGCTGACAAGATGCACCCGAGCAGTAAAACAACTACTCTTCAATTAGTGCTGTAAATTGTAACGCCGGAGTGGACACGATTTCTCACTAATACAACCTGCGGATACTGGTGAAAAAAGCACCAGCAATAATAACAGTCAGAGAAGTAATATGGTTGCCGGCATCCGGTTTCCGATTTGCCTGTCACTGTGGCCAGCCATAGGATGCCCGCACCTACAGAGAGACCATGGGTGGCTTGCGCTGCACCACCCACAACTCCATCCACACACCCCATATCCAGTGTAAACCCGAAAGAATAAGACCGGGAGGCATGTGGATGGGAACCAAGTTTCATCAACGGAGCCGGCCCACACTCCTTCACAGGCAAACACAAGCACGTTGTCTTTAGGAAAGCAATCGCACACAAGGCGGTGGCTGGACCGTAGTCCGCTCCACACGGAGTGCATGGAACCACTCTTCGAGCCTAGCACGACCACAAGGACCGTGCACCCCGTCCCCTCCAGCAACGACCAACTGTCCCATGGAGCCAGTATGAACGAGGTAGTGGGTAATAGACAGGTAGGCACCTTGTCACCATGCACATCAAGTGCAGCCACACTGGGGATATCAAGCAACAGCGAATCACTTGAAACGACAAGATGAAATAAGACAAATCCAATAATGGGTACAGATATGGTGGCACAACTCTTCGCTAAATTACCATATGAAGTAAGTTGGTTAGCAACGAATCCGTGATAAGTAAGAAATGTCCACAAGTTACTTAAAATGCTACAAACGCAACAAAGTTACCGAAGATAAGCATAATTAGCGTAAGCAACGTGGTCAGTTAATAGAAGATTATTCAGGTAGGCAGAACAAGCCAAATAAAGTGGAATGAAATTTAGCCAGCTTAAAAAGACCTAGTTTAAGTGTAAGTTGGTTTAGCCCAACTGCGATGAAGAAGCATCAAGAATGCAACATCAGCCTCAGTATAGGGCACATAGAAGTAATATAATACAAGACATATTACCATGGTTTATTTCAGGCGGGGCGGTAAATGGTTGATGTCGTCTCAAAGAGTTAACGCGACACATTAGTGAGTGGTTTGCACAGCTGATTTGAAAGTGACCTGATGTGTGCATAAAACAAAATTTACGTAGCGCTAGAGATAGTATCAAGAACGAAATGCCGAAGTGGAATCTGAAAGTCCAGTAAATGCACTCCGACCTTCAGGCGATAAGTGTTTCGTTTCAGGTGTTCTGCGACGTATCATCCCCAAAGAGCCCATACAACCCTATGGGGAATCGTTAAAGTAAGAAGAACTGCAATCCCAAGCGCATCTATTCTAGTAATTAGAATGCCGGTACAGCTAAAATGTACTATAATGAAAGAAAAATGTACAAATTTTATAAAATAATAACATCGAGTGCCCATGAGTTGCAGTGGATCGGGTGCCTAAAACTGGCATAATAGAGAGCGGCTAGCAAAAGCTACGGTAGGACGTTGCATGTGAGCAGTGATGGACAATTCAATCAGAAGACGAGTCAAAAGCACAGCCTCATAAGTTGTATCGCCTCAAGTACCGAGTCCGAAGGAACAAAAGTATAGAAAAAAACAGAATATCATCCTGTAGAAGATATGGATGAATGAAGGTGTTCCCCTGCCGATCCATCAAAAGTCAGCAAGTCACTGATAAAAGCGCTGGTTTCGACAAAATCTGTTGCATGAGCATTTGCGCCGGTGTATCGGATCCGGAAAAACCATAACCACATTGCCAACATCGCTTGAAACAGGCAAAACACATCTCTGAGGGCCGTTAGTTCAAGCTGGCCAAGCAGTATAACCGATTGGAATGTCGACGAAATGTGTTCGCCCTCCGAGTGTCACAGCCATGGTATGGACTCCCGGCGCATGTAATTAATACTTCCACCTTATCACTCTTTAGAAAACGACTACACTACACACTGATACAGTTACACTATGTGATGCAGCACGTGACCACCAAATGACGGGCATGGTGAAGAACAAATAGCGGACGATTTAAGTCTCTCATTCAACTACGGGAAGGAATACTCACATCTGTGCTACTGCGAATCTCTTGGTGAGACGTGTATATTGAGTCTTCTTGCTTCGACACTGCGTTCATGCCATAATTTTAACACTAACTATCCTACGGGATTTGTCAAGCATATGCTTCTTTGATACGAGCTGCTTTTCGCACACGAAGTGCAACAGAGCTCATTTGGAGAGATTCGCAACAAAAATTATACACTGGTTAGACCAAAGGCTAGAACAAGTATGCACCCCAATTTCTTCCTGGTCAGACAGACCTATCTGTGGAATGAACTGCAAAGCCCACGCAGAACATGTGAAAATGTGGCAAAACTTAGTAACAAAGTTTCAACTAACCTTGACTCGAATGGGACAATGACTATATTCACATGATAAGCATCACTCGATAAAGTATTATAAAAGCGTCTGAATATCCACGTTACCAAATCTTAGCTTTCACCCCAACCATCCACTAATTCGCTATTAGATTAATCTCATGATTCAATATTGTACATGAGTGTATTGCCCATGCAAGAGCATGGTAACTCATGTACATATTGATTTGCGTCGCTTCAGATACAGTTCCTCGAATGATAAGAAATATACGTATTAGTAGCTAGAGACGGTGTAACGGAAACAAGTGACGTCGTCATCGATCTTCTCCGTAAGGACGAGGTAGACACATCTACAACCGAGTTAATGTGAACACCATGGTAGGCCCGCGGAGAATCCATCCATTTGGTGCTCTTCTTGTCTTACTCGTTGCTGTAGTGAGTTTGCATTCCACGTTGGATCTAACCTTCAAGAATAAGGAGAGCAAGGGATGCTCTGATAACTTGCAGGGAGAAGACATTGAAGTTAGATCATGTTAGCCGATGGACTGGCAAACATATTTCGAGAGTAAGGAAACACAACAAACATGTCTTATTCATTCCGAATGGGAAATGGAATATTGTTCGTCAATCAGACCACCGATAGCTGTACCCACGGACGCCGCGGATTTTTGGATCAACTAGTGCTGGATACTACTTTTGACTCAGATTACTGTGTTAGCAGCGCTTTATCTGTGTGAATTGTGCACCAATATTCTTCTTTTGGCGTATTTTCCAAGCGGTGCAAATTTGGCGGCTATTGTTTGGCTAACTCCGGAGATCTCATTGATTTGCCATACTGCCATCTCTGTCCGCCATCTTGGATTTGCTCTAGCTTGTGATGCCGTCTCAAGCTACTTGTGGTTCGTGTTCGAAAGCTGTGGGAAATAAGGCTCATGGACTTCGATGCTTTGGTTGTGACGTTTGGTTCCACATTTCGTGCATTGGCGTATCCGTTGACGTGTTTTGAAAATCGCTCGACATCCGACATCGGTTTTTTCAAGTTATATGTGATAAATGTCGCGGTACAAGACATCAAAATACGCAGCGACCGCAAACAGTTACGGGCAAATCTCTTTTTTCAGATAAAAACAAACCGTTCACCACGTGGGATCAAACGCCCTCGTGAAAGTACCTCTGTCTCCTCGCCTTCTGTTGTCACCCGCGAGCTGCACCACCAACAGCGTCTTCGATCCCGACCGAACCCCAGGTTCAATGTTTCCCACCGATGAAAGACTCAGACTCAGAAGCTACGAAATGTCGCTTCACTGATCGGTCCGAGAATTTCTCAGAGCCTGTCTGTGAACTTCTGAACACCGAGGAGCCATGGACCACTCAAAAGCGCAAGGGCCCACGTAATCGAGTTCAGACGTCACCTGCTGATAAACATCAACCCAATCAGTTAAGCGCCTCTAGTTCTGCTCCCACAGGTTCATCACTGATTTCGCTGAGGCGTCATAATCTCATGGTCTTCCACGTACCGGAGTCAAAAGATGAAAGCCCTCAGATACGTTATGATCACGATGTTGAGTTCCTCCAGGAGCTCATCTATAGACTCTTGGATGTGGGCGAGGACAGTGTGACGACTAAACAAGTAATCCGACTTGGCCAGAAAACTAACCAATCATGTCGACCTCTGAGGATCACCTTTGCAAATCCCAATATGCCGCAGCTCATACTGTCTCGTCTGTCAAGGCTGAAAGGCATAAAAGTTCATATCCGCCAAGACTTGGAACCCGAAGACAGGGATCGTTTGAAGTCTGCGGTCATTGAGCTCAAATGCCGTACAGATGAAAGTGAAACAGACTTACAAATAGTAAATTTTCGGTGATCAAGAAGGGTGTACGAACCCGTATCAACCGGTTGCTCAACCTCCAGACACGTCCCGCAGTACCTCACAGGACCTCTGTGTGGCATTCGCGAACGTGTGCAGCCTAATGAACAAACGTGACGAATTGTGCCGCTTCGTTGCCTTGGAGCGGCCGGACATTTTAGCACTTGCAGAGACATGGCTGAACTCCGACGTCATACCCCAAGAAGTCGTGTTGTCAGGATACTCTTGTTTCCGATGCGACTGAAAATCAATGGCTCACGGTGGGGTTCTGTTGTACATAAAATCGTCACTAGCTGGCAAACTTACCAGCACCTATCGGAGCGAGGATAGTTTATGCGAGCAATTGTGGTGCACAATCCGCCTCAGGCGCGCAGAACTAATAGTGGG